CACAACGCCCAGCTATTTTTTGTTGCAGTTTGGCTGAGGCTGGGTTCGAACCTGCCACCCTCAGTATATGGGGCCAATGCCCTAAAGAATTTTTCCTTTCTTAAAATTTATACAAGTATTTGACATCCTCTGTATATTAATAATTCAGAGTAGATTTTAAAATTGATACTGCGGCCTTTAGCTGATAAAGCCAACAGACACAGCTACATTTAAAGTGCTAGTTCAGGTGGCCCACACCTGTAATCTCAGCTCTCTGGGAAGTCAAGGCAGGAAGATCCCTTGAGTGCAAGAGTTTGAGACCAGACTGAGCAAGAGCAAGGCCCTGTCTGTAGTAATAATAGAAAAATTAGCCAGGCAATACGTATTGGTGGGCACCAATAGTCCCAGCTACTCAGAAGGCTGAGATAGGAGGATGGCCTGAGCCCAGGAGTCTGAGGTTGCTGTGAGCTATGACGCCACAGCACTCTACCTAGGGTGACAGAGTAAGACTCTGTCTTAAAAATAAATTAATAAATAAAATAAAGTTCTAGTTCTGCTTTTTACCAGGTGGTTCTAGGCAAGGAGCCTGGCCAAACTTGATCAAACTGTAGCATCTGGGAGTAATAATGGTGTGAAACATTAGCAAGCCTCGTCAGCCACACATCCTACTTCTGTTCTACTTCAAAGGACAGTTCTCTGACACAGTTGTCTCAGACATAGGACCACAACTACTGGCCATGCTTAGCTCATAAGTCTATAACAAACTACACATAATTTCACTATAGAATTATTATTATCGTACTAATATCTTAGCATCCAGCAAACTCTTCCTCCCTACCTCACTCCCAAAACTACCCTAGAAAAAATTATCTAGCACTTGTAATGATGACCTTCTTCTTCTTCTTTTCTTATGGAGTCTCATTGTATCACTAAGGCTGAAGTGCAGAGGCATGATCACAGCTCACTACAGCCCTCAGCTCCTGGGCTCAAGCAATCCTCCCACATCAGTCTCCCCAGAGCTGAGACTTCAAGTGTGCTCTACCAGCCCCGCTAGGATGCCCTTCTGACCTTGGCATTGGTGTGTAGATACTTCTCTTCTTAGTACCTCACTGAGACGGGGTGCTCACTGAGCAGCGTGCTACTCTAGCCCACGCTCTGTCTTGCTGGACAGCCAGCCCGGGAGCACATCAAGAACATGCATAGCTACAGTGCCACCATGCTGGACATGGGCAGCAGGACCCATGCCCAGTAAAGCATGTCTCACCTCAGTCTCAGAGGTCACATTATCAGGAAAAGAGAAGAACGAAGGAGGACACAAGCCCTGCATGTTTACTTTTTTACATCTTATATGTAAGCTTAGAATTTCCAAACTAACTAAACTATTAGACCCATAATTTGGTTCATTAAGAGTTAAAGATAAAAGTTTTAATTTCCATTTTATTTTGTAATAAAAGTGCCAATGAGCACGTTCAAGAGCACGACTAGAACACAAAGGACTCCGCCTCTCCCCCAGCACACTTTGCTAATTTACCAGAACTACTATACAGAGTTACCTCCCTAATGTCAGATGAAGCGGCACAAAGAACCAAATTGGAAGATACACAAGGAAGCACATGAAACAGCACTGTAAGTGTGTATGCACAACGGCAGGCTAATTACCCAACAGAGAGACTGTCTTCAGCACAGCACGGATCTGCTTGGGGGGCTGCTGGGCCTGGCTCCGGGCCTGGCTCAGGCGGCAATAACTCTGCACCCACTTCACCAGACAGTCCTCTCGGGTTTTCGACTCTTTATGCAGTTCTTTCAACAGTTTCATGGCAAGTGAGAAGTTGTTCTGTATTAACAGAAGAAAAAGAGTAAAGTGCTGTGTTGACATACAGGAGACAGTTTAGAAATAAAACTGCTTCACAAAAGTGCCAAGCGGCCTGCCTCCCCTGTGCACACCACCCATGGCCTAAGAGCCCCAGTCCATTTCCTCAGCTTCAGTTATGAGGATGTCTTTTTAGTCATTACTGGGATATAATTCATATTTAGAGAGTACAATTCAACCTTTTTAGTGTATTTACAAAGTTGGGCAGCAACCACAACTAACTAATTCCAGAATATTTTCAACATCCTGGAGAGAAACCCTCTGCCCATAAGCAGTCACTTCTCATTCCCTCTTGCCAGTAACCATCACTAATCTGCCTCTGTCTCTAGAGATCTGCCTATTCTGGGCATTTCAGAACCACAGTATCAGAGAACTTGTGCTTTTGCGGCTGGCTTCTTTTGCTCATTATGATGTTGTCCAGGCTCACTCGTGCTGCTGTGCACATCAGTGCTCCCTACTCCTCACAACCAGGGATGTTCCATACACCTACTGATGAACACAGGTTGTTTCCACCTTTCCAGCTACTTCAAGTAATGCCATTGTGACTATTTCTGTATAAAAGTCTGTGGGCATATGCTTTCACTCTTCTTGGGTATAAACCTAAGGACTGGCAACTCTGTGTTTAGCTTTTTTGGGAATATACAGGCTGTTTCCCACAGGTGATGCACCATTTTCCTCATCAGCAACGTCTGAGGGTTCCAGTTTCTCCACATCCCCACCAACACTTAGTATCATCCATCTTTTTAATTCTAGCTGTCCAAGCAGGTATGAAGTAGCGTCTTATCATGATTCTGAGCTGCGTGTCCCTGACGATGGATGATGCTGAATCTTTCCTCATGTGTTGCCAACTATCTTCTTATCTTCTCTGGAGAAATGTCTACTCAAAACTTGTCATCAGGTTGTTTACCTTTCTTTTTTTTTTTTTTTGAGACAGAGCCTCAAGCTGTCCCCCTGGGCAGAGTGCCATGGCATTACAGCTCATAGCAACCTCCAACTCCTGGGCTCAAGCGAGTCTCCTGCCTCCGCCTCCCAAGTAGCTGGGACCACAGACGCCCGCCACAACGCCCGGCTATTTTTTGGTTGCAGCCGTCATTGTTGTTTGGCGGGTCCGGGCTGGGGATTCGACCCCGCCACCTTAGGTGTACGTGGCTGGCACCTTAGCCGGTTGAGCTATAGGCGCCGAGCCTGTTTACCTTTCTATTGTTCAGTTGTAAAGCATTCTTAATATATTCTGGATACCAGTCCTTATCAGATTCAAGATCTGTAAATATTTTCTCCCTTTATTTGGTTGTCTTTTCCCTTTTTTAAGCATGTCATTTGAGACCAAAAGTTTTTAACTCTGAGGCTGTACAACCAACCTACTTTTTGTTTGATATTCACTCAGATGTCTTTCAAGCTGTGTAGTATACCCGAATTCTCTCCCATGCTGCAAAAGACATTTTCATCAGACCCTCTGCAAAAGTCAGGCACAACATGATCCTTTGCAAACCCACCAAGAAGCCCTGTACCCCTCTGCGGGAGTAGGCTCTGCCCTTCCCAGCACTTCACCTCCATGCTCTTGCGTGCGCATTTCTTCACGCTAGGAATGCCTTTCTCTCTTTCCCACATCTAAACCCTTCCGTCCCCACAAAGCACACCCTAAATCAACTGCCCCCTCCCCAGGTTGTCCTAACATCTCCTGTCTTCACCCACCTGTGCGCTGTGGTCATGTGTGTACCCCAACTGCCTGCCCTCTCACTGGCAAGCAGCCACAGGGGCAGGGACCATGTCTCTTCCTCATCATGACCCCAAACCTCCCACCACAGTGTCCTGAGCTCAAATCAGTCCTTCTCCCTGCCTTCTAACCTGCCTCACTTCTATCTTGGGCTGCTCTGGGTTGGGTTTACTTTGCAATATAAAAATTCTTAATTGACATGACAACTAACAAAGCAAAAACTATGAATAAGCATTTAAGCCTACAAAACAGAAATATTAACTATTCTAACTAGAATAACATCTTTTGCTTTGTAATAGCAATCGATGCAGGGTCATTAAAACAGCAAGCCCCCTAGTATATTAAAATATGATTTAATGCATCCAAACAGATCATATGTAACTTTTAAGCAAAATATACTTTAACATTAAGAAAGGGCCTTATTATTAACTGACAGATTTCTACAAACTAAATCTTTTGTTAAATGAGATCAAATCTCACATTAGGTTAATTTTCAAATAACAAATACTAGTCATTTTGAAATGATCAACAGGCATACAATAAACTTTAGAGGCTTTCTGGATAATTTTAAATCTGTGTTTCTTCAAGATCACTTATAAAGAGAAAAAAACTCGTTACCTACTCAATCATTTTAAAGCTTCAGATTTTAAAGGAAAGCTAAGAAAGATGCTAACTCAGGAAGACCCAGAGTGATGTGGGAGCAGAGACTGAGCCAACCTGCTTCCGTGCACTTTCCACCATTGCCATTTTCATGGAGAACTTGCAGCTCTGGATCAGGGACCTGACATCTTCCTGCTCGGGTGCATCCCTGCCATCCCTGGGGTCCTTATCTCCATCCACGTTCATGCTGTGATCATCTAGAAGACAAGGCAGCTTCTCCTCTATTTTGCTAAGAAAGAAACATCTACATAAAACAAAGAAAAATGAAGCTTAATATCAGAGATTCATAAAAGAACTCAGACAAGAAGCTACTGGATAGCAACTGCAGACAGAAATTCTACAATTACAAAATTTTGCTCACATTTAAGCCATATATGTATACTCTAGATAGTGGACTTACTTTCCATTTTAATAAATCAACTCTTTAAAGATCACCAAGAATATTTCAACAGAATTTTCAAGACATCACTGAGTGCTTCCACTTCCATAAAATAGAGCATTCAAATACGTAACTGTTCCTGATTAATGGTGATATAGTCTGTGTTGAGTCAAAAGCCATTTTTCTTCTTTTATCTCTCAATCTAAGGTCCTGTCTACACCCAAAGGCGAAAAATGGAAGGCTGCAAACAGGCGATAAATAATCCCTGAGAATTTTTAAAGATAATGCTAGGTTGTTATAAAATTATTTTTATTTATGTCATCATTTACACATTTGACTTTAAATGATTTCACTTCCATTAATATCAGTACCACCACAAAAAGGTTTAACATATAAAGTCCATCCCTGATCAATAACCAATTTTCTGTTGTTCATACAGGAACCAATTTCTAATTTTCTTAGACTACTGTGGCCAGATAAACCAGCATGCCTCACATCTCTTTTCTGCTCTATGCTTCTCACCTCAAACAAATTTGCACTGCCTTCCTCCAAAGATGCTACTGGTTTTAAGCTTTCATTATGTTTAATCATAAGGCTGGACAGGTAAAGGTGGTGTAGGCTGGGCACTTTGGGAGGACAGCCTGAGGCCAGGAGCCTATGCAACTAATGAGACCCTGCCTCTACAAAAAATTGCGAAATTAAAAAAAAAAATTAAGAATAAAATTGCAAAATTAGCTGGGCAAGGTGGTGTGTACCTGAGGTCCCAGGTACTCAAGCTGAGGTGGGAGAATTGCTTGAGACCAGGAATCTGAGGTTATAGTGAGCTGTGATCACTACACTCTAGTCTGGGTGATTGAGACTGTGACTTAAGAAAAAAAAAAAAACACCAAAAAGGATAAAATGGTACTTAATTAATAACTTAATAAAATGATGAATGAAAGAATCCATAAGTGTCACCAATGTAAGGAAAGTGCTCCAGATCTCAGAAGGGCAAAGGTGGGTACCAGTCACACAGTGAGCCCTCCTGGGCTGTGAGGAGCACACTCAGCACAGGGGCTGAGCTGCTAAGTCTGAGGTAGAGGGACCAAGTCAAATAAAGGCAGAAAGAACTATATTACATGTCATATTCTTAAATGAAATCGAGGAGGACAGAGCCAGGAAGAGAAGAAGAGAACCATCTTTTCTAAAAACAACAGCGTCTCAAACAGCATCAGGAAGCTTGAGAGCCTCTCCTACCACAGAGCCCCAACAGCTCAGCCCTCTATAGATGAGAACCAGCCCTCAGGCAACACCTGCTGCAGCTCCTCAAGAGCTCTGATGGTAAACAAAAGATAGCAGGGAAACTGAAAGTGGGAAAAGGGTCTACTGTTGGGATGGGTTTCTTATTTCTTCTTTTTTTCATGTGTTATGAGGTAACTGCAGCTGTGAGGTGGGGTAGCAGTTTGAGTGACTGAGACCTATGAGGAAGCACTGCTGCTGCATTCTGCCCATGGAAAGAAGCTCAGGCCAAGAGATTTTTTTCTTTTTAAAAAGAAAGTTATATAGGCTCGGTGCCTGTGGCTCAAGTGGCTAAGGCGCCAGCCACATACACCTAAGGTGGCAGGTTCGAATCCATCCCAGGCCCACCAAAGAACAATGATGGCTACAACCAAAAAATAGCCAGGCGTTGTGGCAGGCGCCTGTGGTCCCAGCTATTTGGGAGGCTGAGGCAGGAGATTTGCTTGAGCCCTGGAGTTGGAGGTTGCTGTGAGCTGTGATGCCATAGGGGGACAGCTTGAGGCTCTGTCTCAAAAAAAAAAAAAAAAAAGAAAGAAAGTTACATAAATAGAAGAAATATTGGTATTGTTCTGGAAAAACAAAGGCATGCTTCCTGGGACCAGGTGTGGTGGCTCATGCCTGTAGTCCCAGTTTCTCAGGAGGATACAGCAAGAGGAATTGCTTGAGACCAGGAGTTGGAAGCTGCAATGAGCTCTGATGATGCCACTGTACTCTAGACGGGTGACAGAGTAAAATTCTGTCTCAAAAAAAAAAGAGACAGACAACAACAGAAAACTTCCTAAAGTTGGTTACATAAATGTACAGATTCAAGAAACTTAGTGACTCTCAAATAAGATAAATTCAAAGAAAACCAAACTAGTTGGGGCACAGGATCTCACACCTGCAATCCTAGGCCAAGGCAGGAGCATCCCTTGAGCTCAGAAGTTCAAGACCAACCTGAGCAAGAGCAAGACTCTGTCTCTACTAAAAATAGAAAAATTAGGCTCAGTGCCAGTAGCTCAGTGAGTAGGGCGCCAGCCACATACACTGAGGCTGGTGGGTTGGAGCCTGGACCGGGCCTGCTGAACAACAAAGACAGCTCCAACCAAAACTAGCTGAGTGTTGTGGCAGGTGCCTATAGTCCCAGCTACTTGGGAGGCTGAGGCAAGATCGCTTAAGCCCAAGAGTTTGAGGTTGCTGTGAGTTGTGTAGTACTCTAAGAAGGGTGACATAGTGACACTCTGTCTCAAAAAAATAAATAAAATAAAAATAGAAAAATTAGCTAGGCATTATGGCTGGCACCTGTAGTCCCACATACTCAGGAGGCTGAGGCAAGAGTTTAATGTTGCTGCAAGCTATGATGCCACCGCACTCTACTGAGGGTGACAGAATGAGACTCTGTCTCAAAAAAAAAAGAAAGAAGAAAACAAGAAAAGAAAAGAAAACCAACCTACTTTGTCACATCATAATCAAATTGCTGATAAGCAGTAACAAAGAAAAAAATCTTTAAAGCGGCAAGAAAAATATGACATATCACAAACAGGGTAACAAGCTTAAATAACCATGACTTTCTCCTGAACATGGAGGCCAAAAGATACTACTGAGGACAAAGAGAATCTCTCCAGCATTCCACATCCTGAGAAAATATCCCTCAGGAGTGACAGTGAAATAAAAATACCTTCAGAGAAAGAAAAAAACTAGCAGAACTCATCACAGGTAGGCCCACATTACAAGAACTGCTAAAGGAAAATGGTACCAGAGGTAAATCCACATAGAACTTTAGAATTACATGTGATTCTTTAAAAGTAAAATTATAACACTATTTAGTAGTGTTTTAATTATATGTTATTTCACATATATATATATATGAGAAATCTACACATACAATATATGTGATTTACACATTTATGTGTATAGTAATACATATTGATACCAGACTTTGGATATTGGATTTCCAGGCTCTTGGTCTCCACGATTCTATGAATGAATCCACGGACCACAGGATGGAAGTTAGGTTTTATTTAACAGGTATTACAGCTCTTACAAAGAACCAAACCTTGCAGAGCAGGATAAGATAGGTTTTATACAAGTGTCACAGCTCTTACAAAGAGCCAAACCTCCTTGCAGAGCAGGATGCAAGTGTTACTGCTCTTACAAAGAGCTGAACTTCCTTGCAGAGCAGGATCCAAGTGTTACAGCTCTTCCTCTTCTGCAAGCTCTCCCTCAATAGTCTTTGGCAATCTGTTATGGTCTTTGCTTTCCTGCTCTCTCTCCATAGGAGGTCTGTGAAGATTGCCCCTAGGCTCTCTACTCAGGGGTTTATATAGGGGCAGTTATCCAATGAGCTAAAAGCTGAGCTGATTGGTCTATTTTCTCCTGAAATATTTCAGCTCCTGAAAATACATCAATCAGGAGCTGAATTGAAAATGGACCAATTAGGGATGCACTGGAGGAACTGCTAGTGTTTTCCCCTGCTCAGTCAGGTCTTTTTTGCTACTGGAGCCTCCGGTGGGAGAGGAAAGCTCCCTCTGCTTGCTCCAGCCTGCTGGTTCCTTTGCCGGCTGCCGCAGTCAAGACAGAGGCGGCAGGTCCCCCAACCCCGCTCAGCTGAGCTGGCTAGGGTGCCACTTTGTCCGGTATCAATATCATTACTTCACAACAATAAAAGGGACATTTATCCATGTTTATGTACCTAATAACAGAGCCAAAATACAGTAAGTAAAAACACAATTAAAAAGAGAAACAGAAAATTCTGCAATCATAGTAGATGTTCATATCCCTAACTTGGCAGTGTGGAACTAGGTAAACAAACACAACAGTAATGACACAGATTTTAAAGCACTACTGACCAACTGATCTAACCAAAATCTATAGACCAGTATGTCCATAACTAAGAATATATAAGATTTTTCAAGTTTATGGAGTATATTTACTAAAATAGACCATCTGTTGGGTCATAACGTAAGTCTCAAAAAACATAAAAGGACAGAAACCACAAGAAAATTAGCTTAGAGATCAATAATAATAAAATAACTAGAAAACTCACTTATTCAGAATTTAAAACACTTTTAAATATCTCACAGAAGAAAAAAGAGGTCACATGGAAATTAGAAAATAGCTGATGTAATGATGAGAGACAGGACACCCATGTACTGCTGGTGGAACTATGCAGAGTGATGTGGAGATACCTAAAAGAGCTAGAGGTAGACATGCCTTTTGATTCAGCAATCCCACTGCTGGACATTTACCCAAAGGAAAAAGACATTTTATAAAAAACATACCTGGACTTGAACACTTATAGCAGCACAATTCACAATTGCAAAGATCAGAAAAAACCCAAGTGCCCATCAATACGTGAGTGGATTAATAAAATGTAGTATACGTGTACCACAGAGTGCTTCTCAGCCATTTAAAAAAAAAAAATGTGTATTAACTTGGATAGAAGTGGAAACCATTCTTCTAAGTGAAGTATCACAAGAATGGAAAAACAAATATCACATGTACTCACTATTAAATTGGAACTATTCAATCAACACATGAAAATAACACCTATCAAAAATAAAGGAGATCAAGCCAGGCGTGGTGTCTCACGCCTGTACTCCCAGCAC